CCTCCCTGAGCCTGGTCCTGCAGTTTTTCCCTCCCTCTATTGATGCTTACAGAGGGGTTTCTCTCTAATATTGTAGGGTTTTTAGCCTAATATTTAAAAGTCGATGTACAAACAGTTTATTGAGGTCTTTCTTCTACAAGTGTCTTTGGATGTTGGCTGTCTTTTGTTCTATTCGCTGTGAAGGTGATCCCACATGGTTTAGCTCAGGGCTCTCGGTTCACTGACATATTATATTTGGGATCATTGTCATGCTAAAAACTGAAGCAGTGGCCAATTAGACCCTTTCTGGTTTTACATATTGATGGTCAACCCACTTATGTGTTCGGTAGGTTTTGACACAGCCTGAAATGCCGTCGGAAATTATGACCGAGCCGCCACCATGTTTTACAAATGACTCTGCTGACTTCGTCCATCTATGTCGATGATGATTTGAATCGACAATTGGATTCATCACTGTATAAGATCAGCTCCCACTGATTTTCAGTTCAGTTTCGGTGGGATTTGTCATACCTTGGTCTTTCTCTGTGGTTGAGAACTCCTTAAGAATGGCTTTGTGACAGCTACATTTTCTAATGAGGGTTTAGGAATGCCTCTTGTTTTATCCTCCATTTGTCAAATTTCCTCCATTTCTGCACAGAGTGTGAAAAAGTAGCCAACATAAAAAAAAGCTTTTCAAAAAGACAAAAAATGGAGGTGTGGCTGAAGACTTTTACACAATAGTGCTTTTAGTAGCTTTTCACTGGAGTTCAGATCAACTTTGCGGTACAGTGCCATTTGTGAGACACCAGACAGACTAATGAGGCTGGAAAACTGAGAAAAACTGTTGGGACAGATGAAACCAAGGTTAACTTTGCCCAGAATGATATGAAGAGAAGTCGTGCTGCTCTCAGTTCGTAGACCACACAACCTGCCTTTTGTTTTACTGGAAAACACTGAAGCTACAGCCTGTGTGCAAACCTGAAATACTGTTTTCATCAGCTAACATGTAGGTTTTTCTGTGTGCAGAAAGTGGGCTTCTTTAACCAGCAGTATGCAGATCAGCTTAACATGGAGGAAACAGCCACTGAGTACTTGATGAGGAACTTCAATCTTCCCTACCAGGATGGCAGGAAGTGCCTGGGACGTTTTGGCCTCGAGAGCCACGCCCACACCATTCAGATCTCCAAACTCTCTGGTATAAACACAAACTGGTGAATGTTTATTGTACGATCTTGTGAAGGAAACATTTTCTAATAGCGTCTGGATTTTGTCTTCATCAGGTGGTCAGAAAGCCAGAGTCGTGTTTGCTGAGCTGGCCTGTCGTCAGCCTGACGTGCTGATCTTGGTAAGCGTTGTTCGGTCTTTTGCTCTTCCTTGTGATCAATACTTTCTACTATCTTGTTGATTAATCGCTTCTCGTCTCACAGGACGAACCTACCAACAACTTGGACATTGAGTCAATCGATGCTTTATCAGAGGCCATCAATGAATACAAAGGAGGTGAGACTGGCTGCTGATCAGTTCAGTAGGGACGACTATTCTTACTGCTTCAGTGCTCACATAATTCACACATCTATTTCAAATGCTTGAAGTAATGTGCTAGATGGAAAGCACTGCTGTGGAACAATTAAGAAATTCTTTATTTATCCCATATTTGGGAAATATTTTTATTTTAAATACTTTTAAATTAGTCCATCCCTCTGTTTACTCCTCAGACTCCTGGCTTTATTAGTACAATAAAGGCAGGCACAGCCATATCAATCTGAAGTTATCACATTCACAGTTATGTGCCCACACTGCCACCGTGTGGACGTTCAGAATAATTACATACATGGAAAAGTCATTGCAACTGTTTCTTCACCAGCACCAAAGTCGTAAAGTAAAAAGTAGGGACTTCTGCAGCAGTAGGCAGCGAGGGGTACACGTAGACGCTCTGTTAAAATATAATATTTGTACTCAGAAGAATGAGTGAGCTTTG